TTCAGAAGTCTTGTATAACTTGTATTTATACACATTTCAACTACCATGACATGCTGTAAGATTATTGTATTGTTAACTAACAATAAGAAAAATGTTATATAACCAAGTGATTCTGTTTTTCACCTTGTATTTATTTTATCTTTCAGACAATGCAATTTTTGGATGAGAAGACCTATTAGAAACAGTTTCTCTGCTGGAATACGAAAGTTGTATGCATTTTGCCTAATTGAAAAAACAATAGCATTGTTTGTTCATGTGTATGCATGTATACATACATACACAAATATTCATTGTTGAAAATGAACTTAACTACATGATTATGGTTAATTTTTAAAATGGATTTGCATGGATTATACAAAGTAAAACATAGTATGATGAAATAAATGTCCTTCATTTCAGAAATATTTTCTCAATATTCCTCATAATATCGTGTAAGACTGGGCAATATTATTATACAATGCTCGTTTTCCCCAAGTTACTGAAACATATAGAAAAAAATGGAGTCACAGATTAGTTCTCAGTTTAATGTATTATGTTACACTATCAAAGCCTATTCACATGGTAATCTTCCAAAGTTTTCTTAAAGGTTGTCTGTACCAGTTGCTACCATGGCTGAACAGAATAATGTTTAACAGCTGAACTTTTTTTTAAAGTCTGGTTACAGTTATATCATTTTTCCCCCATTTACTTGAGATAAAATGAAAGAAGCTAAGTGGTAGCATTTTTTTTAAAGAATCACCTTTCTACTAAGTTTTATTCTCTTCTATGTTACATAAAGTTCTTGGGTGTTGTGCTTTTTTAGCATTGATGAAAGATATAAAAGTCATTAGAATGCAAAATAGCTATCAAGATTTTATTTTAATTTGGGAACTGGTTGTTGTGCTTTCATATAATTTTGTCTATGTGGATTTTATTTTACTTCATATAGATAAATGTGTGTGTGTGTGTGTGTTTCACACAAAAGTATGTACATGCACAAAGACTTGCCAACAAGAAGGTCACTGCTTTTTTGGTAGAACAAGAGGGTAGAGCAGCAGGAAAATTGACCAATGGGGGAACATTATAGCCTTCAGTCCTGAGTAGTTTACAAGTTTACTAAGGTGTCTCAGTCTGGATAAATTTTTCTTAAGTTATTTAAAGTCTAGCTGCCACAAGCAGAGGGCAGGAGCAGTTTAAACAATGTTCAGATTTTTCCTTCATCAGGTAGAATAGCAATAGCAGTTAGTTAGACTTATATACAGGTGTCTCAAACCCCAATTAGTACAGGAAACTCCCTCCCCCATCCCCAGTAGATACATCTATGGCAGCAGAAATGATCAAGGTGCTAACTCAAACCACAAAGTAGGGTCATGGTTGGTGTGAAAACTCAAAGAGTTTCTGGGAGGAGACACTTTGAAACTTGTATCACCCATTCTTGTGCCTAAAACAAGACAGGCTAGAGAGTAGTGGTGGGTTACGACCGATATGCCCTAGTACGCTCCAGGTACCGTTCCGGTATGGTGCTCCAGAGGGCCCACCCGCCCTCCTTACCGGTATTTGAGGTTTTCGGGGCTTCCGCGCATGGAATGTACGGTGCCTGTGCGACGCTCCGAGCAGCTGGAGCATCGCGGAGGCGTCATGGGTGGTAAGTACGCATGACACGCTACGCGCATTCATGTGGTGGACGTCCGGCCATTCATGTGGTGGACGCACCGTACCAGTTGCAATGGGATACGGAACCCACCACTGCTAGAGAGGCAGAGTAAAGCACCATTTCCTGCCTCCCATTCCCCTAATGTTTGCACCAGAGGACATCTGCAACCCAGCTCACATCATTTTTTCAAAAGCCTACTTTATTTGAGCTTACTCTGTCCTCGCTGAGCACAGCTGATATTCGACTAATAGACATTTCAGTGTAATGTAAAAAACGTATGTATTTTTTTAGAGGTATGTACACCATTTAACCACAAGAAAAACTTTTGAACTACATTGAAACAAGTTCAAAGACTTTTCTGGACAGGAATCTCATTCCTTTCAAGTCAAAAATAGCCCTTTGAAGATAAAGTTCTGTTTATTTAAAAACTGTTCTGATGTGATAGCAAAATGTTTCCAGCCTCTCGGATAAATTCCACTAAATGCTTACCGCTACATCTCAGTCTTTTATATCAGTCTTAATGAAATGATTTGAGATGTCACTGAAAGCATAGCTTTTTTTATCCTTAGATACTAGCACAGTCATTGTTTCTTACATCTTACCTTCAAGTGCTTTCACTCTTTCGGAAGCTGAAAATGATCTTAAAAATACTGATTCATTTCCAGGGATCAATATCTCCAAAAGAAGATAAAAAAATATGGAGGGACATTGTTTACATCTGTGGTATCTAAAGCCTAGAGCCACAATTAGGATTGCATATTGAGATACAAACTTGGTGAAGGTTCTGCTGAAAGTTATTTCCCATGTAGTCTCCATATCAGAACTACAGTTCCCTAGAGAAAGGGAATGGTTATGCCCGGGAGGTTTAGATTCTGTGAAAACATAACTCCCATTGTTGGACCATAGTTTAAGCAAGGCAAAAAAAAAAAAGTTCCTGAGAACAAGATAGCTCCAAGTTTAAGAAAATGTCATGTCAGGCAGTCATTCTCAAAACATTTTATCTCCATAAATATTATTTCTTGGAATGCAGAGAAACAAAAGGCATGTGCCCTGGTTAATAGCACAATACTAAGCCAAGAAAATCTTAATAGCAGAAATACAAACATTCTTCACTTGTAATAGCCACCAAATTATTATTGTGCTTTTAAAATGAGAGTCCATAGATCCAACCAAAATAAGCAAAAACCTTATTGGACCTCAAAACCTTAAAAGCTCTTTGAAACTACAATAATAAAGGCTTGTTAAAAATGAGACAAGAAAACATGGTACCACATATATTAAATACTCTAAATATTTAGATTTCTGCATTATTGATGCTCTTGGCTAAAAATGAGAAGTTATAATTCTGTGTATGAACAGTAACAATGTTCCTTATAGAAAGAAAATGCTATAGTCTGAATAACTTGTAGGTTTCTATTTAGGTAAGATACTGTTTCCATGCTTTATCTGCATTGGATCACAAAGCACTGTTTATATGCAGCTATGCACTCAGAGCCTTGGCTGTTGTGGCATCACAGATCAATCTTAATCATTTCTGCTTTTAACATGTCACAAAACCTTATTTCAGCACAAAATCTCTCAAACTGTGAATGGCACAAAAGTTATCTGTGTTCTGAAAAATGATTGTGCATGAAAGGTAGGGCACTTGGGCTGGGTCTGTTATACAAAGCAAACTGTGTTTTGTTTGGTTTTCCCTTAAGCACTAGTACTTCTTACAGATTTTGTACATTGAATATAGTCAGATGAATGAGTATTGTTACTTAACAAACAGATTCTAATAGAATACATAAGAGTACTCTAAAGGAACACTCAAATGTTAATTAACAGCTACAGTGCTTCAGAAGTGCTACGTTTTGACAACTTTCAGAAAAGCAGTACTGTACTATATAATCAGAGCAACCTGAAGCTCCTGTAGAAGGCTATTTCATAAAACATGCAATAGAAAAGCGACATCTAGTCTTGAGTCTAATAACATGGCAATGGGAGGCTATCAACAATTTTTCCCACATATATGCTGGTGACCTACTAAGTCTTATTGATAATTATACATCTTCTATACCAACATATATTGATGTGTGTTGAAATTGCCAACACATATACAGACCAGTGGTGGGTTCTGGATGGAACGGCCCCGGCGTCACCCACATGGACGGGCACTGCACACGCGTGTGCATGCGCGTGTCACACGTGCGATACTTCCGCAAGCCTCTGTGACACTCCAGCTGCTTGGCAGAACGTCGCACAGGCACCATATGTGCCATGCACATGCGCGGAAGTGCCAAAGGCTTAAAGCACAGGTAAGCAGCTCGGGCGGGTAGGTGGGCCCTTCGGAGCACCGTACCGGAACGGTATCCAGTGCTCCGGGCAGGCTCCGATACGCCCGTAGCCGGGCCTACTGCCTGCAACCCACCACTGATACAGATTCAGTCATAGTTTCAACTTGGAAACTCAGCATCCTAGACCAAGATGGATCCAAAAAATTCCTGGAAGAATCTCTAGACACAGTGATAAACCACATTCACACAAAATGAAAAGTTAAGGAAAGAGCAGAGCACATCCTCTCCTTCAGCCGAAATCCAGATAAGCAGGGATTAACACCAGGCACACAAGCAGAAAACAATACTCTAATCAAGCAACTACCAAGGATAAAACCATATCTCCAACAAAATTGGCAGGGCAACATAAAGATAAAGGTAAATGTTTCCCCTGTCCAGTCATTTGCAGCTCTAGGGGACAGTGCTCATTTCTGTTTCTTAGCCATGGGAGGCAGTATTGTTGAAGACATTTCTGTGGTCATATGGTCTGCATACACTAAGGCACACAGAATCAGGGGTAGTATTCACTTACCTTCCCTACCACTTCACAAATGTCCACGCATGCGTTCCGCCTTCCACGCATGCGCTTTGCCTAAAAAAAGGGCCTAAATGGGAGCTGAGAGTGGGTGGACGGGGCTACCTGCAATTTCCGCTACTGGTTTGGCCGAACCGGTCAAAACCAGCAGAATACCACCTCTGCACAGAATGCTGTTACCTTTCCACCGAAGTGGTATCTATTTCTCTACTTGCATTTGCATGTTTTCAAACTGCTAGGTGGGCAGGAGCTGGGCAAAGTAAAGGGAGGATACCCCATCCATCGCACGACACATGGGTTTTGAACCCGGGCTGTCAGTTTTCCAGCTAACAAGCTCAGCATCTTTAACTGCTGAGCCATCATGCCTCCAAAGAAACCTACTGTGTATAAACAGGGAGCAAGCTACACTCGTACTGATGATGTTATCTGATTGGGTAATAAAACATCTGCAATCAAACAACCAAGCTTAGCAAGCACCAAGGACTCCACAGTTCAACTCTGAGCTACACATATGCTCTTCTGTTAGATATTTTAATATTATACATTTTATGTAATTACACATATTTAAATAATCTGAATTAATCTCAGATACTATAGAATATCATCTAGGACCTGAGGAAGTTTTTCAGTTTAGGAAAGACCTTCAGTGAATTCTGTGTTGTTGCATGTAAAACATCTTCCACTGAAATTCCTTTTATTTTAGCAATGTATTCTGCAGCAATGAAGATATTCTTTGGCTCATTTCTCACCTAAAATGCAATTATAAGATTATAAAATTTATTAAAAATTGATAAAGAAAATTACAAAGTTTATAAACATTTATAAAATTAGATAACAGGTTCCTATTTCCTATTTCCTAACGAATTTTGTTGTATTTAAGTACAATGACAATAAAGATTATACTATTGAGCAATTCCTTTCATTTACAACTCATCTGCAAATCTTCTCAGTTCAAACCTAATTCATTGAGTTCTGCAGTAATGCAGGCATGATGAAGGAACGGGTAGATATGATCACTGACAGTTGCTGTCATAAATCTTCACATGAATGGCTCTTGGACCAGCTCTTGGATTATTTGTTTTTGTAACCAAGACAGCAGAGATGTCCAGCAGCATTCAGGGCAACTAGGCAGTCCTCCTAGAATAACGCTATCCACCATCGCATGAGGGAGGAGATTAGAAAAGGTACTCTAAACTTGGCCTGCCCTGCAACAACATCTGGCTAGTTGGAATAAAAGAAGAGATTATGAAATTCTGCTTTTCTCTCAGCAAGTCCTTGTATATCACCATTGTCAGCACCTATGCACCAACTTTCACAAGTTCAAGTGAAGACAAGGAAGTGTTCTACAAGGACCTGGACCAGATTGTCCAAACAACACCCCACTAGTGACAAAGTCATCATTTTGGCCAATTTCAATGCTAAGGTGGCAACAGACAGTGATCATGGGTGTTACATGTGCTTCCAGATATGACTTATGGTCACTCAGTCACACACTCTAAGCCCTAGAAAACAGCTACTTGTACGCTCAAGCCACTTTCAACCAAATACTAGGCACAACTGGTTCTTGAGACAGAAGCTGCCAAGTCTGGGTCCAAAGATGACTCAAAGAGTGGAAGGCTTCAGGACCCCTTTTATCTCCCAAAGTCCTTGCTTGTTTTGCTTTGTTGACTGAAAGACTACCAGCTACTCTTGTCTTGTTAATTTATAAGTCTGGTTATTGCTGTTGATGAGATTTGGGGGGCTTCCCCACATGCTCAGGCTCAATTTCTTTTGTCTGGTTCATATGAAATTTTTCCTTTGTTTCCTTAATGACTTCGTTCCTTCTTAGTTACCTCCCTTAAGGGATGTCCCTTAAGACATGGGGTGGAAAAACAGTCTGCTGCTTCTGAGCACATGTGCCAAGAACAACCTGTGCACCACTAACACAATGTTTAGACTTTTGAGCAAGTACAAACTACTTGGATGCATCCCAGGTCCAAACACTAGTAATAGAGTAGCATAGGTGTAGCCTCAATGTTTGCAGATGTGCAAAGATAATATCACAACCTAGAAACCATTTCCATATTCCTATAGGTGGTACGCTCAAGCACTTTATTGGTCAACAAGTTTGGGCAAACAACACCTGCAGTTTATTTCACTGAGATAACCTCCCCCTTTCTTTACACTTAAAGAGTCTTTTTAACAGTCATTTAGTCTGTCATTTTAACAGACTTTAACTGATAAAATAAATTCTACTGTTACACTGTGTATGTTAATGCTGAACTTGACAAGATAGAATCACTGATGGGTCCTCACCTGTTTCTCAGGACCTAGGGCAGGGGAGTCAGTTTCCAAGCAAATGCTTTCTAGAGGTAGCTGTTTCACAAGTTTCTGCTTCTTAAAGGAAATCACAGAAAGGAATTTAACATCTATAGCTTTTAGGCTGAAAAGGCAAACTTTTGAACAAAAGACAGTTAATCAGTTGATAATTTCCACCTAAACAATTGAAATATGCACCTTGCCAAAAGCTGAATACTTTGTCTTTATATACATACACAGTCCAAATAATTTTTATTCTCTATTTCGGTATATTCAAATTTTAAAAAAATGAAAAAGTCCAAGATCCATTGAGAAACCTTGCTTCTTTTGTTTAAGCAATGAATAGAATAGAATGAATGAGCCAGAAGGGACCTTGGAGTCCCTTCAAGCAGGAGAACCT